GGGACAGCACACAGGGAATGGCTCCCACTGCCAGAGGGCAGGGATGGATGGGGTATTGGGAATTGGGAATTGTTCCTTGGCAGGGTGGGGAGGAGCTGGGCTGGAATTCCCAGAGCAGCTGTGGCTGTCCCTGGATCCCTGGCAGTGCCCAAGGCCAGGTTGGACACTGGGGCTGGAGCACCTGGGACAGTGGGAGGTGTCCCTGCCATGGCAGGGGTGGCCCTGGGTGGGGTTTAAGGTCCTTTCCACCCCACCCCACTCCATGACTCTGGGATTGTTCAAAGCCAGCTGCATGTGCAGCCAGCCTGGGATTTAACAAGAACATTGCTCTTTTCTCATCATTTCTTCCCCAAATCATGGCAAAATCTGTCTCCAGCACATTTCCCTGACTCCTTCCTCAATGACACAATTTCAGAGGACAACCCAGTTACAAAACCAGAGTTCTGTCCTCAATATGGTTTTTGTTTGACTCCCTGGCCACAGTTATATATCACAATAAATTAAATGACTGCTGAGGGACCTTCCTTCCAGACACCATTAATCAGAAAATTAGCCCACATTCAGACTGGACACTATTCCCCTGGCCACCCTTTGGTCAGGATTTTTATTAATTTTCCCCACATCATGGATACAAAGTGCTCACTTCAAGGCACACAAAAACTTCTGGAAAACCACAGCAACATGAAACAGAAATGGATGTCTCCCCATTCAAGCACAGCTGCATGAGCCCATCAGATGTGAGATAGCAGATGGCCCAAGAAAGAAGTTGAAGATGATAAAATTGTTTCCAAAAAGTTTTTTTGCTATTTTATACCAAGTTGCTAAAGCCAATTGCAGACTTGAAATACCTCCAGAACCACGGAGCAGCCTCTCTGTGATAGGTGTTTGTACCCTGGAATTATATATTAACTGAGTCTAGTCATGATAAGATACTGCAGAAAATAAAATTATGTTAAACATGAAGTCTAAAAATACACCCTGTGACAATTTTTTAAAAAAATATCCACCAAATTTCTGCAATTAAGAGCTCTTTTACATATTCCTATCTATGCAACATCATCCTCAAGCAGTTTGTTGCACTGCTCCTATTTTATATCATTTTATGTAACTCTGTGTACCATGAGAAAATTGATGCAGTTTCTTCTCCCTTTTTTCTTTTTATTTTTACTTTTTTTCATCGCTCTGCAGCTGGTAGGGAGATGATACACCTCATTATCTTATTCTGTGGGTCATCTAAAATGAGTATTAAGTCATTCTACCTCCCACAGCCTTTGGTACGGAGCCAAGGAGAACTCGGAAAAGTAAAATTCCTGACCTAAAAAAAGAGAGGATGCTTTATATTCTCAACATAAAAATGAGGTTTTAGGAGAGGATGCTTTATATTCTCAACATAAAAATGGAATGGTTTGGGTTGGGAGGGACCTTAAATCCCATCCAATGCCACCCCTGCCATGGCAGGGACACCTCCCACTGTCCCAGGCTGCTCCAAGCACCCTCACATGGAATAATTCCTTCTTAATAAACGTGACAAGCTTATTCCAACAGTTTTCTCACAGCTAAACTGAAATTGCAAGAGATAAAACCATAACCTCCCAAAACACCTCCAGCTGGGAGACAAGTCCCCTTCCAGGACCCAACCTCATTCTCCATGGGCAGAGTGGACACAATGAGCAGCACAGGCTCCTCTTCTCTGATGAGGATTTGGGCAAGGATATTTGTGATTTTGGCATAAGTAGACACATATTTAAACCAAATCCTAATAAATCTTTCCATCCTTGCACTGAGCTCCTCCACCACTAGTAAATTGGATGGATTTTCTGTAGCTCCTTTCATTCTGGTTTTATGCTCAGGTAAATTTGCATTTCAGTTGAAATAAATGCCCTTTTATCCAAGGGGCTGCAGATGGGGAATGGTCCCAGCTGGGGTTGGGATTTCTCCAACCCCCATTTCCTGGTGCTGACCTCTGGCCAGGACAGGGGGATCCCACAGGACCCGGCCACATCCCAAAGCAGCAACCAACTACAGAGGCTGCAGTCACAGTGCCTGGAGAAATGTGACCCTGTGGGACAGCCCTGCACCCTGACAGGCTCCAGCAGGGACAAGTGGCCACTCAGAGCTCCTGGGGGGACAACCACCCACCCCTCAAAGCACACAGGCACTTCTGTCCCCGCAGTCAAAGGGGCAAACAAACACCCCTGCAGATGAGGCAAGCTGGATTTTCAGCCCTGAAGCTCCCACTGCAAGGGCTGTGTCAGGGAATGGTTTCCTCTGGAGAGGGCTGCCAGGAACTTTATCCCTGCTTTTGTGTGTTGTTTTCCTTGTAAATCGGCATTTCTGTCCCAGAAAATATTACACTAACGTGACCAGTCCCAAATATCCAACAATAAAACCCCTCCAAAGCCTTACCCAGACATTCTCCTCATCTCTCTGAGCAGCTGAGTAAACTCCAAGATGTAACTAATGGCTTGCATACACATACACAGGAAAATATTTGGGTTTAAATAAATCCCCAGAACACTGGAACCCTCAGTCCTTTACACTACAATGACTCCCAACCCTTAAGGAGGTTTTTCTGTCAGCTGAGATTAATGATGTCAGCAAGCAAACAAACACCACGTCCTGCACACCTCCAACACCCATGTGGGCTTCATTTCCACTCCTGCAGAATTCCAACCCTGTGGGGAGCTTTTGTGCTTGGCAAGGACAATGCCAAGGCAATGTGCTGACACGTCCACACAGGCTCTGTGCCTGAATGCCCCCAAAACTTCCTAAATCTCCCCCAAACCAGCGCTGTTAGAAATCCTGACGTGTCCCTCCCAAAGGCACAGCACCAACACCCGCAGAACTTGAACTCAATCTGCAAATTTCTCCAACAGGAAGGAAAATTCCAGCTTGACAAGGGTGGGTGACCTCCAATTTTCCTGTTATCTGCTGGCAAGTGGGCTCTTTGAAGAGTCTGCAGGGCCAAAGGGAGATCCCACCACTTTTTCCCTAACTCTGAACTTCCTAAAGCTGATGTCTCTTTGTCCAGGCTATTCCTGTTTTCCTGAAATGACATTTTCCTGCACAGTCCATTTTCCATCACAATGATTGGATTGTAGAGCTGCAATGAATGCCAGAATTGTTTGCTGGATACATTACCAGATAACTTTTTTTTCCCTCAAGCCCAGAAAGAGAAATTAGGTTTGCAACAGAGATAATTTTTGGTTTTCTGAAGCACAGGTTTTGTACCATGTAAAACATTCCCAGACAGTGATTTGCATCATGCATTTTCCTCACTAGTTTATTTGTACAAAAGAAATTCCACCTCCGGCTGCCACAGATTTGTCCTGCAGGTTTTAAAAATCGTGTTTAGAGAAAATAAAAACACTTGGAAATAACCCTTTTACAAAGCCAGAGGATTTTTTTTTTCCTTTTGGTTGATGCACTTGGCTTCATGCTGTGAGCCAGAGGAGCTGCTCCTGAGCCAGGGGAGGATGCAGGAGGTGAATGTTGTACCCTGTCCCCAAGGAGGGAGAGGAAACCAGGCCAGTGGAGGTGTCATTCCCTGCTCAGGGCATTCATGGTGGTGCCAAGGGGTAAAATCCCACCTGAAGCCTGTGCTGCTCTTCCCAGGAAATGCTCACACGGTTCATTTCCTCACGAGGATCACCTGGCTGCCCCGATTTCCAAGGAGGATCAGTTCCCTTGCTTGACATTCCCAGTCAGAGGTGGGAAGCATGTAAAATACATGCATTTATTTGCATGGATTTACATATGGGCATGGAGTAGGGACATGCTATGGCATGGAGATGAATGTTCCTCCCCCTTGAGTCCTCATTCTTTGGTTTTTTGACTTCAGGGAAATGCAGCTTTGCTTCATCAGGTCACTGTGGCCAGTAGATGAAACCATCTCCCTTGAATTCCTGGTAATCCTGCAGGACAAATGCCTGATGCCATGGGAAACACTCTCATTCCCACTGAGGAAGATCCTGTCTCTTCCTCTCTGCCAGAGAAGAAGTGGGAAAGGTTTTTGTGTTCCCTTCAAGTGTCAGTCCCAGCCCAGGGGACATCCCTGACCTGGGAGTGATTATTTTGCTGTGTTCTCCATGGATACCAAACTCCAAATGTTTTCTCTCCATGCCAAAATCTCTTGCTGTGGCTTTAGGGTGAGACTCCAGGCAGGCCTAAGGGCATACACTAAAGCAGGGTGAAATGTAAATAACATTCTTCTATTTCCCAGATGTGCAGGAAATAATGCACCTGAGGGTACAGACCTGATGAACCAAAGCTGCATTTTCCTGAAAAAAAAAAAAATCCTAAAAATCAGACTCAAGGGGGAGAAACGTTCACTTCTTACTGAAATAAAAGAGAATCTGGGCACTGATTCTGTAGGAAATGTCTCTGGTCATAGTGAGCTACACTGGATGAAAGCTTGAAAGACAATCTTTGGTGTCCCTTTTCTGATTCCACTTGGAGTCATCTGTGGTCCAGCCTTGGCTTTGGTTTCCAGAATGACTTCCTTGGTTAAAAAGGTGTTTTTCAGGGAAAAATGCTGGCAGGTCCTTCCTCACTGCCTTACCTTCCACCTCCTCTCCCAACAGATTGAACTGCTGATGACTTTTTGAGGATCTGGAATATATTTGTTCAACAGATCTCCGTCTTCTCGGCAAGCAAAAATTACCATTGTTATTCCTACATTAACTGGGAAGCTGAAACACAAAAAGGCAAAATAATCCAACAGAAACAGAGCACAAAACACCCCAGGTCCCTGTGTCCAGCACAGGTCACCCAGCTGGAGGTTATCCCAGTGGCTCACAAACATCCCTCTTCCAAAAAATCCTGACCTTGCATCTCAGCCTGGATTAGGAAAACAAAGCAGAACCATCAAAGGCCAAATTCCAGCCTCATTCAAACCCCATCTCAAACTCTCTGCAGCAAAATTTAACACTTGCAGTGATTTTTAGGGGCAGTGTTTTTTTTTCCCATGGGATTTGTGGGTACAAAGGCACAACTTCTCAGGCAGTTTCAATAATTGTGTTTTATTTAACAGCACCAAATAAAAACACAGCACTTGGATCAATATTATCCTCATGCTTTATTCCATAAATAAACTCCATTGGTTTGTGAGCTGCTTGTTTTTACTTCCAACGTGTACAAATAAAGATTTAAATATTTTTTTGGAGGAAACGTGACAGCTGGTTTGAGTTCTGCACGTCTTGATGCAAACATCCTTCTTGGCACCACTCCTTCATCTGCCATTTCTAGAAACACTTTGTGCTCACAGAAGTGGAGTAAAACGTAAGTTACAATGAAAAACGTGAAAAAAAGTGTTATAAACAAATATTTAAATATTGTTTTTTAATGGGAGAGCTCGCTAGGTTGTTTCACTCTATGAATAGGAATGGAGTTCTTCAGAAAGTTGAAATATTGGTCCCCTTTGGAATGTTAAGTATTAATGTGAAACTGCTGTTGCTCTGATGATGTGGTAATGCTATTTCAACTGGTTCCTAAACATAACAAATAAGAGTTTTCTTCAAGGATTTAACTCACAGGAAATCAATTAAGAAAATACTTCAGAGAAATAAGTTTTACACGTCTTATAAACACTGGGCTATTGCTACAGAGAAGTGTACTTTTTAAAAAAAGGATTAAGATAAATAATACCCCTGTAATGCAGTATTTGCATTAAAAATTCTTAAAATCATTTCCTCTGGGTAAAATGACCAAAAGGTGATGCTCTGGGACAGCTGTGCTCCCTTTTAGGCTGTTTTTGATTACTTGAAAGTTGCCTTAAAATTTCAATTGAAACATAAATGATCTTTCTTTATATAAAGAGCCAAGATAAGAAAAATACCTCCAGGTAATTGAGATAACAGTTAATTTTATGGCTTATCTAGAAGTCAAAGGCATTCAAGATCCAATTAGGATGATGAGAAAGAGGCTCCTTTGTCACTCTGTGTTTCTGTGAAGGAGCTGGTCCAGTAATTGCTAGAGAAAAAAAATACAAAAGTGCTTTAAAATACTGTTAAAATCCATCAGGTGATAGAAATGTTTAGTGATACAGGAGGTGAGGTGGAGTTGGCATCCCAGATTTCAAATTTAATGTGTCCATTTGCTCAGAAACAACAGGAAATCCTCACCTTTTTAAACATCTCCACACGCAGCCTGTTACTCTGGATGATGATCCGCTTCTGTTTCTCCTCTTGTTTCTTTTTAACCTCAGGTAAATTGTCATAAATCCTGTCAGGAATTCAGAAAGCAGAGTTCATGTCATCCCCGGGGCTCACAAATAATTAATTTTTCCTGTAGGGAATGTTTGCCTTCCGTGCAGTACTTGTAATGGGCATCTCTAAGTATTTAAATTTGATTTATGGCATGGGAATGATAAATTATTAATAGTCATAGTTTGATATGAAATCTGGCTGGTTTTCAAATCTTGCTGCAAATTCTGATTTTGGAATAAAAAAAGTAAAGAAAGAGATGGGATGAGTTAATTTCAAAACAGTAGCTTCTAATGAGCTCAGTGAACTTCTTTTCAATTTCTAGCAACAAAATTCCAACCAGAATCTGGGCTGTATACTTTTTTTTTTTTTTTTTTTGTATTTATGTCACACAATTAGTATCAAGCAATCACTTTCAAGTAATTTTCTAAAATACAAGAAAAACATCATTATAAGTCTGCAAACTGTTTGCATTTTTCCACTGTCATTAGGAACGCTTTTTACCAAGGACAACACAATCTTTCCAATCTAAAAGTAACATTAAAAAAGTGACTTCTGATCTTTTCCCATTAAAATCAGTGATAAAAGTCCCAGGATTTGGAAGAGAAAGCAGAACAATCCTGGTTTTGCACTGATGCCTTGTGGAGGTTGCCCTGGAGCAGAGGCTGGGCAGAGTCACAGAACAAAGCAGGGATTTATTCCAGGATCTCCTCATGGATCCACCTTGGGCAGCAGCAGAGCCCAGCCAGGGCTGCACCCAAATGACCCAAAATGGTCCCAAAATGCACGAGCGCTCCCGGGGCTCTCCCTGGGATCAGTTCTGCTCCACTGGCACCTTGGAGTTCATTGTCCCATTCCAGCTCCAGCCCATCAGTCCCACCCTGCTGGATTTTCTCTCTCCAGCCCACGCTGTTTGTGCTCCTGGGCTGAGGTTTGGATCATTTGTCCTTGGTGCCCAGCTGGAGCAGGAATTGTTTTGTCTCCCTGCTCTGTGCAGAGAGCTCAGCATCCCCTGGTATAAATCCCAGACCCACACACTAAAGCAGCACAGAATGTGAAAAAATAAAAGCTAAAACCTGAGGCATCAGCATGAGCACAAAGCCTCTTTAGTTCTTGGTTCTCCTCATAATATTTTGCAATTCCAGGTTCTTGAAGCAGCCTGTTTTAGCTGGGGATTGTATTTTGGAGAACAGGATTGGGACATATTTGAAAACAGAGATTAATTCCTCATGGTGCCTTCTGCAGCTTCCCTTGCATGAAGTGCAATGCAGCTAAAGATCAGATACCACATTCCTCATGATTTGCTGTCATTCCCATCCTCTGTGCCATAAAATACCCAAAGTGACCTCACTGCTTCCTTTTATGGGTGTTCAACATGAGGGACCTGCCAAGGGTTTGGTTTTTATGCTGTGGCTGCCCCATGGTGTTCAAAGGGCAGGGCTGCCCAAACCTGAGGTGATAGAGCAGAGAAAAATTCATGGACAAACTCCAAAGCAGAGGGATTTGTACCTTTTAGATCTCATGTGCATCTCCTTCTCAGGAATGACTCTCTCCTTTGGTTTGAAGAGGTTATCTGGCAGAGAGAAAATAAAGTTACTACTGGAGGGATCTGCTTTTACTGACATCTCAGATGTCATATCCCATGGAGCCACAATTTGTCATTTCTGGTTAAAGTTTTCAATGCTTAAAGCCAGATCCAAATCTCCAAAACTTCCTCACAGGTTCCTGCAAGCAGCTGCACCCTGGCTGCTCCTCAGTGTGTCAGGAGCCTGCCCTGGCACAGCCATTTCTGATTCAATTTACACCTGTTTTGCAGGGCTGTGGATAATTATCTGAGCTTTAGAAGGAGGAAAATCACATTACTCCTTCTGATCAAGTATGAAGAGATCTGTGATAATTCCAATCAGCATTTCCCTGGATACAGGAAAATAATTTCTGATCTGAGCAATTAGTGGGTCTCAGGAAAAGGAGATTTTAACATTTTCCTTGCAAAAATGAGTCCTGAAAGGGAAGGGAGGATATTTGTACAAGGTGGGAAGCCAAGAAATAAATGAGATTACTGTTGTATCTCTGTGTAAAATTCATGGAATCACAAAATGGTTTGGGTTGGGATGGACCACGAAGCCCATCCCATTCCCACCCCGGCCATGGCAGGGACACCTCCCACTGTCCCAGTGTCCAGCCTGGCCTTGGGCACTGCCAGGATCCAGGGGCAGCCACAGCTGCTCTGGGAATTCCATCCCAGCCCCTCTCCACCCTCCCAGGTGGGAATTAGGAATTGGGAATTCCTAATTCCCAATCTCCCACCCATCCCTGCCCTCTGGCAGTGGGAGCCATTCCCTGTGTCCTGTCCCTCCATCCTTTTTCCCCGTCCCTCTTCAGCTCTCCTGGAGCCCCTCCAGGCCCTGGCAGAGCTCTGAGCTCTCCCTGGAGCCTTTTCCAGGCTGAACAATCCCAAATCTCTCAGCCATTCCTCATAGCAGAGATTTTCCATCCTTCCAATCAAAATCAAAGGGAGGGAGGCTCTGAAGCCTCCTGTGCCTCAGGACTGCCTTTCCCCCCTCAGCACTTGTCTACACTTAATCATCCTTGTTAAATCTTCAGCACACACCAGCCACATGCTCGATTTGCTAGGAAAACATAATTTGTCTTTTATTTATTAGTGTTCTAACGCTCATTTGCATGTTGATTCACTTAAAAGGAATAAACACTTGGATGCTACTGCTGTCCAAATAACTCTGAAAGTGCAGAGAGAAGATTGTTTGTGACCCAGGGACACCTTCCACTATCCCAGGTTGCTCCAAGCCCCTTCAACCTGGCTTTGAACTCCTCCAGGGATGGGGCATGATGACAATTGAGCATTCCAGACCTTTGTGTGTAGCCACCAGAACAGGAAAAACCTCATCCAGGGATTTGCAGACCCACTTCCTATCCCATATACAGCATGATAAACTGATAAAATGTATTTCTCCTGCAAGTCCCTCAGCCAGGGTGGTCTCTATTTTCAATTTCTGGGAAGCAGCACAGAGGCTGGGAGCTGTGCAGGTGCTGTTGCTCCAGAATAATCCTCTCCTGCTGCCACAGAAGGGCATCAGACCCTTCTGGACAAGATATGTGCTCTGCAGGGCTTTGAAGGGATGGACTCAAAAGAGACTCGGGAAAATCCTCCAAGAAAATAATAAATCCACCTTGGTTATGGAAATGCCCTTTGTGAAGCAGTGTGGAGCCACGAGGTTAATTCTCATGGCCAAGCATTCCTGTAGCACTTCCCAGCTGGCTGTTTAACAGAAAAAAAAAGAAAATCACATGCAAACATTGAGGCTAATCCTTGCTGGATTGTAGGATTAGGATTCAAAAGTGAAATGAGAAGTAAATATAAAAAAATTGCTAGAAATGAGAAAGTAAAAGTCAAGTGTGCATTTAAATAGTTGTTAATCCTCTACACTGAGAAGAAAGCTCATTTCAGAGGGGGAGAGCAGCAAACAGAGCTGAAATAACCTCGAGCTCATCCTGGAGACCTGACTTAAAGCTCTTTCCTTTCCTACCAAGCAAAGATCAAATGGGCCACGAGGTAGACAATTCCCCTCTAAATTATGTTTCAGCTGTTCCTTATCAAAGCTCCTTACCAGATTTCATAGCTTTGGATGAATTTTGGAGAAGGGATTTCAGAGCAGACCTTCAGCACTGCCAGGGATGCAGCACAGTTAAATACAGCTTTAGACAGAGAGGAGTCACCTCGTTGGTGTTTTATTCACACCTTGTGAAACTCCTGACTTTCTGGCACTCACAAGCTGTAAATGAATGCAAATGGGTCGTCCCTGTAATATATTTTAATTAATGCTAAACTGCACCTCCAAGAGGATGAGTAACTCTCCTACTTGGGAAGTCAGTAAATATTTAGACAGAGAACAGATAAAATGATTGTGTCGGAACCAGCCCCTGACTTCCTATTTACCACTAAATCACTGGAGCACTTAAACAGTGGCAATATTTATCAAAGTATACACAATATAGATACAGTTTCTTCTAACATGAATGTGAATTCTGAAAGTTTGGTAGGAGCTAAAGTGTGCCTTTGAGGATGTGTGAAAAGCAAAGCACTGCTGGTGGTGGATCTCTACTCTTTTACTGAACTGCTCTTTTACTGAACTGAAAAAATAATTCACCAAAAACCCATTTGCACAGAGAAATCCTAGGATACAGAACACTTTTTTAAGCACGGGGGTTTTTTAAAATCAGCAGTCCCCTAAAAAATAAATTAGCCTTGAATCTAAGATAGATGTGGATGTGATGCTGAGCTCCTCGTGCCCATGGGATTTTCCTGGGAATTCATCCAGGGGATGTAAAGCAGTGCCTACACCCAGGGGTGCTGCCCAAACTTTGCACATCCCCTGTCAGTGACTTCATGCACTGAACTGCTCCAGCTGCAGCCTGCACATGAGGTTTTGGTGTTATTTACACAAAATGCAATAACCCCCGAGTTAAGGGTTCAGGGTAAGGCTGCCTGGCTCCTACTCACCCCACAGAAATCCTAAAGCTCACAAGTGCTCCTTGCCCCAACAGCACCCATAGGAAGGTGGTTCTCAGATTCTCCAGCTGTTCAGGTCTCTCCTACTACTACTGAGACTTCTGACCCTCCTCAATATTTCATTTTTTTTCTGGAGAACATTACTAATATGTCTAGAAAGCTGTAAAGTTGAGAGGTTTGTGGAAACATTTTCATATTAGAATAATTTTGAGAATGTTGCTGGAGATTTCAGTCCTTTCTATCCAAATTATACTTAAATATTCATGGATTTTATCCAGAAAAACAAAAATATTTGCATCTCACCTGGCCTTCTTAAATCTTTCCAGTATCATTAGAGCATTAGAGCATATCATCCTAAAAACTTTTTTTCCCTCAAAAAATCAGCAGCTTTTGATGAAGGTGTGGCAGAGTTGATATTAGTTTAATAATATCTTCAAAACAGATAATTCCTCTTCCCAATTCCATTACCTGACTGCAGCTTAGACTTTATTCAGAGCTGCCAGCCAAAAAAAGCCAAAAGAATGAGTGCCACTATTAAAAGTTTGAATGGGGAAAAGAGAACTGGGAAATGACCCGAAATAAATGACCCAAATAAAGGGACAGCTGAGCACCAATGTGAAGGCCACAGGATTATTGCAAATTTCTCTGATTGCCACCTTCTCCTCCGTCAGTCCAAACAAAAACCTCCCCAGCACAGGACTGCTGGAGAAACCCAGCCCTGGAAAATCAAAAAAAAATCCCCAATCCTTGTGGATGTGACAGCCTGGTCAGAGAGGGAGAAAACTCGATACGTTTTCCCAGGATTGGCTTGTGAGAATTTAGGGAGTTGAAGATAAAGAATGATAGCTTGTTATTCTAAACAGCCTGCAGGCATTGTTTTCCTACTCTCTGTTTTCCTGGTTTTCCCCAAAGATTGTTTATCAGAAAGGTGTTTTTGTTAATTAGCAATCAGGTGACTTGTATTGATTGACTGACCAATGTGGTCTGTCGGTATCAGCACAGTCTATATAAAACTGTATAGAAAACAGTCTAATCCCTATAAAAGAGGGGTTTTCAAAGCAAAGTGAGATGCTGTGCAAACCAGCCTTCTGGTGAGTCTGTGTCCTTCCTCACTCAACAGTGACAATCCTCATCCTCCAGTTCCAAAAACACTTTTGGGACAGGTTTGGAAGCACGACTGAGGGGATATAAATTATTTCCAAGATATTACCCAAGATCGAGGGTTTGGATGCAAACCCAGAGGAGCTCAGCAGGCTCCAGGGTGGGGTTGAAGGGTAACCTTCAGCTCCTCTGGCCAATCCCAAAGAACAACCAACCCCTCCAAGGACAGGAAAAGGCAAGGTGGGCAAAAACCCCAAACGTGCCTGAGAAATTGCGTCCAACCTCCCAAAGTGCCTGTGCACACCAAGATCACAGGGCTGTTCATTATGCAGATTTAAAGGGCCATAAACAGCTGGTAGTCCTGTCACTGCAGTAATTACATTACGGTTTTGGAGATTTAAATGCAGTTATTTGAACATTGTTTCTATTCAGCTCGTCACAGTGGGATCTCTAATTTGTTCGACACAGTCAACAGCAGAGTTGTCTATCTTGGACTAATTAGCACGCTCAAAATTTAGCGGTGCCCATTACCCAGCACAAAGGCTGCCTGAGAGTTCTGTGCAGGTTCTGTGCTTCCAAAGAGCCCTCGTGATGATAAAACCTCGTGCAGGATAAACATTTTCATTTTCCTCAGATTACTTGCAGCGTTTTGTAAAACCCCGCTCGTGAAGGACAATTAAAAAGTGGCAAACAACTCAGGGTTTTGAGGATGGGAAGGTAAATGGGAACTGCACAGATGTTGGTATTTATATGGAAATTATGCTGAATGCCAATTATTTCTTTCTCCGACAAGAAACTGAAGTTGTAACAACACTGTCAAAACACAGGGAAACCCTGCTAGTCAATAATTTCATGTTATCAATAAAGATGTTTTAGGCTTATAGAATAATCTCTCTGGGAGAGAGAAAAATCTCTGCAGGTCTTTTGCTCTCTGGGTGTAAAATATTTTAATGGAATCAAACTTGCAAAAGTAGAGAGAAGCACATGTACTAAACTTACTTCAGCAAACTGATCAAAACACCTTGGGCTGCAGTTTAGGCCCCATTTCCACCTGAATAAAAGCAGGCACCCACCTCTCCCCATCCTGGGCCACCCTCCTGGGTGGGTGGTGGAACCCTGGCTGCTGGCAATTTTGGACTATCTCAACTAACCCCCAAGAGAACTCTGCATTTGACCTGAGGCCATGGAGAAGGCTTCCAAAATTGAATAATAGAACTGAGATTATGCGTGTGTCGTTTGAATAGAAGTGTGTAAAATCACCTAGTAGAAAACGTAGAGTTTAAATTTTTAGAATATAGTAATATATATATAAAACAAGACAGAAGTTTTAAGACAGAAACTAGTTCTTCTTCTTTACCTTCTTCATAAGTTTAAGTAGTATTGTGTAATTAAATAAAAAGTCCACATTACAGAGCACAAATAGTTATTAAGATAAGCTACAGAAACCAAAGATTCTCTCTAGGCAAATTTACCTTTAATGACCAACCACTAAAAGATGGAAATAGTTGTTAACTTCAATAATTAATGAATATATTTCAATATTATGATTTTATTACTCATTAAACAAGCATAAAGTTTAAAACTTCATTATTATTTGAGGAGAAGTAGGCTTAGCCTTTCATATTTTGTTTCATAAATTATTTGTGGAGTGGTTTGGGGGATTTTTAAAGATGTTCAGACAGAAGTGGGAGATTTTTACCACTTCCTCTAAGAGAGATGACAAACTCCTGGTGTGCTGCTGGCAGAGCTCACAGAGTCCTCACACTGCACAGCCCTGAGAGATCTGATTCCAGGTAAATTAACTTGGATCATGGAAATGGTGAATTCATTCTATTCAGCCTTTAAGATAGAATTCATGCTTTGTGCTGTGTTTCCTTATGTTTATTTAGCTCTCACTGTAAAGACCCAGTAGGAAGTTGGAATTCTCCAGGAAATTCCAAGAGCCCTGAAATGGGGCTGCACCCACTTCTCCTGCATTCCCCAGGCAGCCAAAAAACCCTGTTTGTGTTTCCCTGGGTTGAGGACATCAAATATTCCCTTCCCTGCATCTTCCAGGTGTCTTTGTTAGTTTGTTTAATCTTTTCAATTAATTTACTTTTCAGCAGAATAATGTATCTTCAAGCAGCCACAGATTTAAAACCAAGATGTAAAGAGGAACGCCAATCAATCAAATAAATCTTTGTTCTTTAGTCAACTGAATAAAAAAAAAACAAAAAAGAAATTAAAAAAAAAAAAGAAAAAAGAAAAAAGAAAAAAGAAAAAAGAAAATAAAAAGAAAAGCAATTTGTTTTACATCTTGAGCTTAGATAACATTTACAGAGGTGTTGTGTGGGCTGTGAGGGAGAGAAGGGTTTCCCTCATGGGGGGTTGAGGCTGTTTGCCACAACCTAATCAGCTTTAATTAGGAAATCACAGAGTTTTCATGCCTTGATGCAGCAGGGCTGTGCAGACCAGAGCTCTTCCCCAGCTCTGGGATTTCTGACACAAGTGGCAGATCCACACCTGCAGCTGGGGCTCCTTCCCAAATCCCACCTGTCCCCAGACTGGTCATTCTGTCAGCTGGGAGAGGATGAAATGTCATTTATTGCCATGTCCCCATGAGCAGCAGCAACTGAAGAACACAACTGCGTGTGACAATGACAAAAAGTCCCCAGGGAGCTGCCACAGAGCACAGGAAATTCCTCATCCCCACTGACCCATCTCTGAGCTGCTGGGAATTCCTGCCAGGAGCATCTGCACCGATGCTGGAGAGTGAACCGGGAGCAGCACCTCTCCTGTTTCTCCCCAGTTTCATTTGGAAATTCCATCCACGACTTCCAAAGGCAGCCACGGACCTGCTGCTGCTCACAACTCACCACTGAGCGGGTCAGGGATGGTGAATTGCTTCTTCTTGCTGGAAGTGGAGGTGGAGAGCTTGGGAGCCAGAGCTCGGGGGGTGCCTGGGGGAGCCTCCCTGTGCTGGGCCCTCCTCAGCTGCACCATCAGCTCCAGCCTCCTCAGCCTCTTCTGGGAGCGGGAGATGAACTCAGGGTTGTGGATCTCCAGGGCTTCCTGCAGGAACAGAGAAGCTGCTTTGTGCCCTCCTGAGTCGAAGGGAGGAAAAGTTGTGATGGGCATAGGGCTGAGTTTGGTTAGAGATGGTTAAAGTGATGAAAATGAGTCTGGGTTTGGGTTGGAAAGGACTTCAAAGCTCATTCCATCTCCTGCCATGGGCAGGGACACCTCCCACTGTCCCAGGATGCTCCAAACCCTTTCAACCTGGCTTTGGGCACTGCCAGGGATCCAGGGGCAGCCAGCTGCTCTTGGCACCTGTGCCAGGGCTGCCCACCCTCCCAGGGAACAATTCCTGCCCAATATCCCATCCATCCCTGCCCTCTGGCAATGGGAAGCCATTCCCCCTCGTCCTGTCAAGTTTATACATCTCTATGTTTCAAATTACATATTTTTACATCCAAATTCAAGTTCTTGATGTTTTGCCTGTTTCCTTTTCTCACCCCATCACCGAAGCAACTCGTCACTGACAGTTCACAAGCTTTCCTGTTTATTTAGATTGTCAGATCGCTCCATGGCTGATCCAGAAAGAAAACACTTCCCAGTCAAAGGCTGCTTCAACATTTAGGAATGTCTTAAGACAGAGGAAAGGAGCAGAGGTGGGTCTGCAGCATGTGCAGGAGGAAAAGGCAGGGAAGTCCATCAGCTGCTGGTACCAGCCTGGGCCATGTCCACAGCTACAGCTGGTGCTGGAAGTGCCAGGCACTTGGGAAACTGGGAATTTGTAAATTCCCAAACTCTTAACAAGCTTCGCCACAGGAACAGCAGCTGCAGCTCAGAACAAAGAGCCTGGACAACCAGACAACCAAGCAAGTTCTGGCAGTGCATACAAACTGCCAAAACTTCACTAGAAAGGGAAAAACTCAAGGAATGTGAACTTCTGCCCTTAACAAGTTCCCAGGAAGCAATCACCATCCATGGGGGAAAAGGGGAGAAAAGGGAAAAAAGGGGGGGGAAAGGAAAATTAGCAGGAAAAAAGGGGGAAAAGGGGAGAAAAAAGATGCTTTACCCGCAGTGTCCGTGGGACTGCTGGAGTTTGCTCCAGCTGGGAGCTGGATCCTGGCCAGGTGAGCAGGTTTTTCTCCCAGGTCACACCTGGAGAGAGGGCCCTGGGCAGTGTCACCGTGGGCAGTGTCACCGTGGGCAGTGTCACCGTGGGCAGTGTCACCCTCCTGCCTCCCCGCTGGTCCTGTGCCTCGAGCTCCTTCGTTCTGTCCCTCGGAGCCGGGGATTCAGAATTGCCTTGGAGAGATTTAAAAGTTTGTTAGGAGTGCATGGCTAATTTTTTATTGGATTCTCCACCTCATTAGACAGAGAGGGCAATTCCTGAAATAAGAAAGCCAGGCTGTTATTAATAGGCCTCATTAGGCAGAGGAGATCAGATCTAATGGTGGCTGCCCTGTGACACCCGGAGTGTCTCTCACATTATCCAGACCTCACATGGGAGGAAATCACAATTAAAACTCCAGGACACTCAACTCTCTTTGCTGGTGCTTCCCAAAATTTGTGCCATGGAAAGCCAGGGATATCTTGCTGTGACCTGCAGTTGGAATTCATTCCAATTTATTGCAGAAAATACCAGATTGCTATGGGTTTTAACCACAAATCATTTCCCTTTCACCACACTGAGCCTTTCATCAGCACCACTGGCTTTTTTTTTTCCTTTGTTTTTAATCCAGTTTACTTTCTGTCACTCCTACAGATCTGTTAGCCATTGGAAAAGCTCCATTAAAAAAAAATCAACAAAAGGTTATTGTGTATTATAGGGCATTATTATGAAAGCTGTCAATTGACATTAAGAAAAAGATATTATTTTCTACGCTTATAATTAAGTTTTAATGCTCACTGACTGATATTCCCTGCACAAATTAGGACCAAAAGAGGCTGTGTGCTCAAAAATCAGATTCTCATTCAGAGGACAGAACAAATCCAAAATAACAAAGGAACTTCGGAAGGGCTCCATATGAACTGTTTGAAAAGTCACACTGGAGTGCTCCTTTCTTGCCAAATAATTTGATTTCTAGAACTAAATATCTGGGAATAAAGCCCGTTACTGTTTTATTTCAATTTTTGGTTACAATAAACTTAAAATATTTTCCTCTTTATGACATATTGTACATATTATATTGTACTTAAAAAACATATTAAAAAGATCTGCGTTGGGTACATTTGCCTTATAAAAATCTGAAATGTATTTCCTCCCTAACACTGTTCTCACCAACATTTTGGAATAAACCTTGAAACCTGTGAACATGAAATTAAATTCCTCCCTAAGCCAGGTTTACAGAGGTGTGGATTAAGTTGGGCTTTGCCAGATCTCAGTGGATGCTTCACTTTTGTAAAACAAAGTTGCTTTCAGTTAGGGGAATGCCATGATTTAACCTCAGGCACTGAAAACAGCATTTAGGCTTCCAAATGTCTGACATTCAGCAGCTTTATGCTCAGCGATGACAAATTTTGCCTACCTGCCTGTTCAGAAAACTCTGTTCAGAAAAAAAACAGCTGCAAGAAAAAAAGGTTCCATGACCATTACAACATTTTTAAGGAATAAGTTTCTCACAAACATATGGATACTAAATCCAAATTAATCTCAGTTGCTTTCTGCAAAAAAATACCTGGTGCATGAATACAGCTGCTGGTGTCATCTGCATTTTAGCTGTGAGGATTAATGTTGGAAGTAAGACATCCCAGACATAGCTGAACCCAAAGAAATTATGTTTTACACACTGAAGTCTTGTTAATAATCATAGTTCAGATAGTTGTGTCAAAAAAAAAGGTTGAAGGAGTGAAAGAAAGGTATCAGAACAGAGTTGTAAAAATCTCACTGCTGGTATTACTAGGTTAGGCTGGGGCTGCTTGACTTTGCAATTTTAATGCTTTTTTGAGATTTTCTTGTGAATCTAAGCCTATCTTGGTCATTTTAATCTTGTTTTCTATTAACCATAGCAATGTATACAGTCAGATCAGCTGATTGATCTCTCACCAGATGACTCATGCTCAGCACTTAAAGCTGGACAAGAACGGCCTGACTTTCCATTATTTCACTTTTTTTTTCTTTGAGACTGATCTCATCTTATTATTGAAACCATATTCCTGACAACCACAGTAGGATTTGTACCTTACTTTTTAGGAGCTGCTTTTGCCCATGAACATTTTCCTCCCAGAGGATCCTTGATGACGCCGTTATGTTGCACACGCTGCTGGAGAAGGACATTTTTGGTTTCAGGACAGCCTGTGCTTGGATCTCTTTGGATTTGGAGGTGTCTTTGGAGGGATCTGCCCAGTTGGATGAGCCATCAGGAGCAGCAGCAATGGTTTCTCTGGGGGCTGCATCTGGAAGGGAGCCAGGGGTTGTTGTGCTGCTCCTCTTCCTGCTTCCCAACAGCATTGGTGTTCCTGGCAAAAACAAAAAAAACAATCCTATAACATGGGAATTTTTTTTTTTTCCTCAGCTCTCTAAGCCATGTAATTTTTATTGGCATGGAAGGATCCTGGAGTTGTAGGGCTGAGCAATGCCCTTCCCATCAAAAACTGTCATGGCAAAGCTTTGTGCTGAACCCTTTGGGTGCTGGCTCCAGCTGTGGCTGTGCACAGAGCCAGAACGGGGCACTGGAAATGCTGGGGGTGGGAGATGCTTCTGAGGCAACCACTCCACTGGAGAGGGGCCAAAACCCTGATCCCAAAACTTGTTAGGCCTTGGTTTTCATCACAGCCACCACTGAATCCATAACAATGACTCTGATGAGGTTTAAACAATTTCAGATCCTGGAATCCTGGAACACTTCCAATTGAAATGTATCTTAAGAGCATCCAGTGCCACCCCTGCCATGGCAGGGACACCTTCCAGTCTCCCAGGCTGCTCCAAGGCCTGGCCAGCCTGGCCTTGGGCACTTCCATGGATCCAGGAGCAGCCACAGCTGCTCCGGGCACCCTCCCCACCCTCCCAAGGAACAATTCTTTCCCAATATCCCATCTCTCCCTGCCCTCTGGCAGTGGGAAGCTATTCCTCTTGTCCTGTCACTCCAGGCCCTTGAAAAGATTCCTTCACCTTTCTTGTTGTCTTTTTTAAAAGCAGATTTAACACAATTCTTTCTCTGCCAGCTCTTTGCCATGTCTTGGTTGAGGACAGAGTGAAGATTAGAAGTGTTTTTCTCCTTTGAGCCAATCCATGACAAAGGGTGAGATGGCACTGCAGGGATTTAAAGAATTTGTGGCACTTGGGGACATGGGTTAGTGATGGGCAGTGCTGGGGTGATGGTTGGACTCGATCATCGTGAAGGGTTTTTCCAACCTAAATGAATCTGTGTTTCTATGATTCCCTGTTGGACACTTCCTTATCTCCAAGTCACTCACTAAAATCAGGTCCTGCCTTGTGGGAAGTTTTCAGTTCACCTTCCCAATCCTTAATCCAGTCACAAAAGATAAGAAATATTCTTTTCCACCAAATAATGATCTCCAGTGCATTTTAGTGACCCGACTGTCTCATGTCTCTTTTTGACTCTCAAATATTTCTGAGAAAATCAGAGGCATTAAGATACAGCATTTACTGTTTTTCCCTTTCCCTGCAGTTCAGAGCTTGGAGCACAGAACCACAGAATTGTTTAGGTTGGCAAAGCCCTCTGAGATCATTGACTCCAACCACAACATCTCGAGCTCCTTTCTGTAACTGCCCATACAGTGAGGAGGAGTCAGCTCCTCAGGGGATGCTCTAGTGAGGGATCCCTAAAGATCAGCCCAAACAGAGAAAACAAACCTCGTTTTTAATTCAATTCATTGAGATGAACCCCATCCAAAGCAGTTTCACAGCCCTACAGAAAATCTGGTCAAAGCAAGAGAGCTCCCAAACTCTGGGGTAGCATCCAAGCTCTCCTGCTCTCTGACAGAACTCGTTTTCCTCTGTGCTTTTCATACATCACAAATAACTCCCTTATCTTTTGTCACAACCAAGCTCTTTTCTCTGATGGAAAGAGTTTTGATGCAAATGCTCTCGAGAAACTGGACAGACTGAATTCTGTGCATCCCTTCAGAGCTCTTGCCTATCCAGGGACCTGTTCCCTGACCAATCCCATTCCTGCAGTCACACAAAAATGTCCTATGGCACAGAGAGGGGGGGAAAAACACCAGGACAGATTAGTGGGGTCATGGACTCAAAGGGTGGCTGTGGGAGGAGGTAGGAACAAGCAGTGGGGTAGGAGAAGATGAAGAAAGCAGCAGGTAGCACTGAGTAACTGCAGAGCAGCAGGGGAGGAAGTCCTTTCACTCAGGCAGCCAGGAAATCCAAGCCAAGATGGATAGAGGGGGAAAAAAGGAGGAGAGCTAAGCCACAGGAAGAACCTGAATGGAAAACAGATTATCTCATTAAATCACCTTTGAAATTAAAATAGTTTACTGGCCAGCAGTAAACAGAGAAGAGAAGAAAGAGGAAAGGAGGAAAGAGTTTCTGCTCATCCATGGCAGCATCACAGTGGGAGATAATTTGCCTTCATATCAAGAAATGGTCTGTGCAGCAAATGTGTGTTGTGAAGCCAAACAGCTTCACTGTCAAATTGCTCAATTTGGGGACCCTGCTGTGTCCCCAGGAGGGTCTGTTTGCTGCTGCTGGGCTCCCCAAAATCAGCAGGAGTCATCAAGGGGGTCAAAATGGGCTGTAAGGGAGAAGGGTAGAGACCAGAGTGAAGGGAGAAGGCTCCAAGTCACATCTCTCCTCTCTAACTCAGAATATTGATCTGAACACGAGAAAGAAGAGCTCCTGGAGTATTCACACTCCATTTACTCCTAACTACCAGACTAGCTCTCCATGGGTATTGGCTTCCAAGTGTAAGTACAGAAACCTTCAAGAATGGACAATTAAGCTCCAGGAAATTTCTTACACGTTGTGCAAATGGAGAAAACCTTCTCTCCTCTCTGCACCACTTCCCTGCTAAAAGAAACTCCACCAGTGGCATCCTCCCAACAAGGCCTGGGGGATCCCTGTGAAGATGTGGATTAGGAGAGAAGGAAAAGAAATGCATGAACAAAACTAAGAATGGGGCCAAAAATTAGGAAAAGGGGATGAATGCTTCTTAGCATTTTATGATAAAAGGTTGCCTTGAGAAAGAATTTAAACACCCCCCACGATTCCTGATGAAATTCAGGAATAAAATCAACACGTCCTTCCTGCATGAAAAGTGTCTTCCTTGTGGGTCTGGATTTAATATTCTAACTAAATCTTAATCCTTATTATATTCACAGTATGGTGGGGATTTTTTTTTGTGTGGTAGTTAATTAAGGTAGTAAAAAGTATGCGTCTTCTTCTTGTCTAACAGTGAAAGCAATCAGAATAATAACAGAGTCAATTTGCTAAATTCTTTCTTCTAGCTCCCTCTTGAATTAACCTTTCCCTTCCAAAGGTGCACCCAGGTGCAGCCAATCCCCAGGAAAACAGAGCAAAGCAAACCAGACAGGGGCTCCAAAAATCAACTCCCTCATCCTCAAAGCAGCTCTCAGTTACTTTAACAAACACAGATGCAAATGATATTTAGGAATAAAAAGAAAAAAAAAGAGAACAAGGCAAAGGTACTTAAAGGTAAGATCACAGTGTTTCACTCTGTACACCCTGGACCAGTTTTTAATATTCTTTGTGGGGAATTAGGACTGTTACTCTCATTAAGACTATCTGGAATTGTGTATCTAAATCCCTCCACCAACCCAGCTTGAAATATATATGCCCCACTGAGAATAGCCAGAATTGCAACTGGATGACCAGAAATAGATGTTTTTTCTATTATCCCAGCTGAGGAAAGCCTTTAAAACCAATGAACAAAGACATGCAAGTGTAATGCTTTGGGAGATATGGGAGAGCAAAACTGAAAGAAACAGAAAGCAGAATGACTCCATTAATAAAATTCAGCCAGTATAGGTTGTAGCTGTAACAGTTCAGCTGCTTATAGAAGCAAATTTAAGGAACAAAGTCATAATTACATCTGGAGAAGAGTCATTTCTGCCCTGTGCAAGAAAGATGACAACAGCTCAATTTTTAAATAATGACTTAGTGAAAACCATACCATAGAGGAGGAGTTGAAAATATTCTGTAAAACCAAGGGTAGGTTTTCAAAAGCTCCTTAAAAGAAGAAAAAAAAAAAAGAATCCTTGATCTTGGAGTAAAATAAGTATATTGTTTTACTGTAAAGTATCTTTTTACATTTCCCCTTCTCTCCCTTCAGGGGGTTTTGCTAATGGAAAGTGACCCTGCATTACAGCAGGTTAAACTTGAGACACTCACAATCCAGGCAAACATCCCCTGTTCCATTGTTACTGGTTTCCCCTCTCCCCCATTCCACTTTACAGCAGGATAATTCAGCTTTTCATCCTTGAATAAAACCCTCCTCCCAGTGTTGCAGCGTGGATTTTTGATGATTTGTGACAAAGTGCTTCTTTGAAACTGGCCAAAGCTCACTTTAGCAGAGGCAGGGCTGCAAATCCTCTGTGGCCACCAAGTCAGCCCAAGAGGTGCTGGGAGGGGACACCCCGAGCTGATTCCCTGTGTGTCCCTAATGAGATCAGACATCAGCACTGGAGACAGCTTCACATTGCAGACCACCTGCTGGGGGGTTTGTTTTAATTTAATAAAAACCCCACATCCTGAGCTGCTGAGCTCTCCTGCACCTCCGTGCTGGGAGCTGATGCTGCCAACACCCCAAGCAGAGAGGAGCAGGAATTAACATTCCTTAAATGTAAGAAACTTCTGCCTCCTTCAAGATTTAGACCCAGTAGTTGTAGAGACCCACACGTGCCTCAAGCAGCCATCCATAATGCCAAGCAAGACTCCAGCCTCCCTCTGACAGAGACTGATGGCTCAGCCCTTTTCATGAATCAAGGGTTGGCACAGCTGGGCCACGCAATCTTAGATGTGAGCAAACAGAGCACATCATCTCAACAGCCTGGTAACCAAGAGAAATGGAAACATTGAGAGCCATGACAGCGTTATTAGTTATGCCAGGGTTTGTCAAGGGATGCAAGATAGGGTGGAGGATTTATTTCTCAGATCGCTGCCGAGGAAAAGGCATCACTTGTGATCAGTCAACGAGCTGCAGTCGGCCAGGGGTGCCACAAAATTCACCTGTTTTGACTAGAATCCCCTCTGACCAACAATGAGACTTTTGTCCCAAACTGCCTCCTGATGCTTCTCAAATGATTCATTTGCAAGAGGCAGCATCAGCTGCTGCTCAGCATTAACATCCATGGAAACTACCTGAATTCCTGGGAATGTAGCTCTGCCCACGTTCCCTGTTCAAAATGTGATGTTTAACGAGGTCTTGATTCACCTTTCAATAAAAATCTGGATCCTGAGAAGTGGGGCTGGGCCCTGTCCTCAGCTCCATTCCCAGAATTGTCAAGATCCAAAGTCAAGGTAACTT